CAAGATCTACAAAACCACACAGCTAACAAATATTACCCGTCGTACTACCAAGTTCTTATAGCCAAAACCGACAAATTAAAAAATTCTGAGAATTTAAGCTTTGCGAAAGGGAGACATGGATTTCTCCAAAACACAACCTGGACACAATTAACATAGAGATCTAAAAATCAAGCTACAATATAAATTGGAAAACGTTAAATACGTCTTTTTCCATCTGGGTGACAGTAAAACATATAACGGAATTACAAACAACCAAAAAGAAAATCTTGTAATATTAAGACACAACAAGAGATATTAGATGCAAAATCAAAGGTTACAAAGAACTGTTAGAAGAGAATGAAGATGAACTAAACCTGATCGTACCACATAACTGTAACGAAACAACCATTTTTCCATAAACACTTTTGATGTATAAACTACGCCAAAAACCAAGAAATAGAATGGCAAATAACATAGACTGCTCTAAAACAAACTTTACAAGCATCAAAGAGGACGGAGAAGAAAGAAAAATGGAGAAGGCCAGAGAATAAACATCACACCCAAGCAACTAGCCCGAAGAATCCAAGTGTTTGACAAACATTAGGTTTAAGGCAAAACCTTAACCTCTGAAAGGAAAACGCCAAAGAAGATCAAGACCTCTAACATTCAAACACTCACAAACTAGCCAAAGTCATCTACTGACTTAACAATAGCCTTCTCCTCGCAAAAGCATAGCTAAAAATTGACACCATTGCTTCGTCTTGATACAAACTTCACTCATTTAAGTAGAGGGAAAAGGCAGTAGATGTCCTCAAAACAGTGTATTTAAAACCGGACTGGACCGGTGGTCGAATATGGTTAAATTGTCAATCAGATACATGTCCGGATCGGGTTAACATTAAAATCCAAGTAGAGTTAGACTGCTTAAGAAACCAGATAGAACCGTCAAAAATCCAGAAACTGACTATAAACACTCGTCCACCGTTGACCACCGTCTATATGTCATTATACATTCACTAAAAAACAAATTGTGGCAGCGGGTGAAAATGATTCAAAATAATGGTAGATTTTAAAAGAATTTTCGATATAATGGTACATTTTGTAAAATTCACAAAATATTTTTCAATTCAGTCATTGATCCGGTTATAAGAATAAAGTTTCACAGCGATATACCACCATAAAAGCAATCCAAACAATCAGACCTAACGGAGACTCATATAGTCATAACCCGATAAACCACAACAACAACGTTAAATAATTTTTTTTTTGCCATTTTCGTAATTCACACTCTTAAAAATTCACCACCATATCACCCCACTTCCCACCCT